ACTACTACTACTACTACTAGTACTACTACTACTACTACTACTGCTACTACTACTACTACCACCACTAGTATTACTATTACTACGACTACTACTACCACCACCATTACTTCTACTACTACTACTACTACTACTACTACTACTACTAGCTACTAGCTTCTAACTACTAACTACTAGTTATTAACTTCTAGCTACGAACTACTAACTACTACTACTACTACTACTACTACTACTACTACTACTACTACTACTACTACTACGACTACTACTACCACGACTAATATCACCACTATTCCTACCACTAATGATACTACTACTATTACTACTGTTTCTTCTTCTTCTACTATTACTACTACTACTATTACGACTACGACTACGACTAGTGAATACTACTCTTACCGCTACAACTATTACGACTACTACTTCTACTACTACTACTGCTACTTACTACTACTACGACTACTACTCCCACTACGACTACACTTACCAATACTACTACTACTACTACTACTACTACTACTACTACTACTACTACTACTACTACTACATCTACTACCACTAATACTACGACTGTTACTACTACTACTACTACTACTACTACTACTACTACTACTACTACTACGATTACGACTACTACTACTACTACGACTACTACTACGACTACTACTACTACTACTACTACTACTACTACTACTACTACTACTACTACTACTACTACTACTACTACTACTACTACTACTACTACTACTACTACTACTACTACTACTACTACTACTACTACTACTACTACTACTACTACGACTACGACTACTACTACTACTACTACTACTACTACTACCACTACTACTACTACTACTACTACTACTACTACTACTACTGCTACTACTACTACTACTACTACCGCTACCACTGCCGGTACCACCTTCATTTCCACGACCATTCCCAGTACCAGTACTACAACGCGCGAGCACACCGAGATCAGACATTCCACGGTTTGTTTTTTTGTTCGGAAGCCGAATGGTCAGACGTAACCCAACCAGTTGGCTTTCGAAGACTTAGCGGCCAGACCCCGCTCGAAACATTCGCAAAGGAAGCGCCCCAGGAATCGGACATTCCCCGGTGCTACCGGGGAATGTCCCCTTTCCCTGGGGAATGTCGGGCTAAGTCCTGATCGCCCCCTCTCCCCCTCCCCCTCTCCCCCCCTCCCCTTGAAGAGCGCCCATCTGCAAAGCAGACCCTCTCGCCTTTCCCTGCAGGAGGAGGAGGAAAAGCAGGAGGAGCATAAGGAGGAGGACGCCGTGGAGCAGGAGGGAGAGGATGAGGAACAGCATGCGGAGGAGGATACGGAGAGGGCCTCTGGTTGGCAGTTTGGGGGCGTTTGGGGAGACTCTTGGAGGGCCTCTTTGAAGCCTTTTGGGGGCCTCCAGGGGCTTCCTGGCGGGTTCTTGGGGGCTTTTGGGAGGCCTCCTGGGACCTCCTGAGAGCTTCTCGGGGGCGAGCGGTCGAGATATCCGTTCGGACTCCCGTCTTGGCACCCTTTTGGAAGCGTTTTGGGTGCTTCTCAGCCTGTCTTGGAGGCGTTTCGGGCCGTCTGGGGGCCCTCCTGGGCCTTTGTGGGAACGTCTTGGAGGACTGTGGGCCGTCTTGGGGTGTCGTGGAGCGTCGAGAAGCGGAAGAGACGAGGACGCCAATATCCTTCCAAAAGACCGAAGGGAAATTGATGAATTATGCCTCTGGAGGCCTTCTTGGGATGCTCCTGGAGGCCTCTTGGAGCGTTGCGCAGGCCTCGTGGGCCTTCAGGAGGCCGTGAAGGCCGCGGGTGCAAATAGGCGGCGAGGCGATCCGCACCCGCGCCCGAGCTGGTCGGGAGCGGGCGAACGGACTGTCCGGCGGCAAGAGGGGGAGGGGGCGGAGGTCACCACCCACCAAACCACCCCAACCCAACCCGAAGGCTCAGATTTACCTACCGCGCAGGATATGAGACGAAGGAGGGGGGGCACGCAAACTAGCTTCCTCTTCTCATAGGCACCGCGACACTGCATGTACGAGGCACAGGGTAGCGCGGGCAGGAGGTGGCTGACGGAGGAGGAGGGCTCAGTGGGGCGAGCCACCACATCAGCATCAGCGCATCTTGAGACCTGCTACTGGAGCTGAATATTCGTTCGGTTTCGAGCATGAAGCTGCGGGCCCCACAGGCGCCCCGCATGCGGGCGCAGCCACTGGGGCCTTCGATGGAGCCCCCTGTGGAACCACAAAACGTTCCTGGGCCTTCGGTGGAGCCCTCTATGGGACCACGAAGCGATGTCCTGGGTAGGGAAGACGCGTGCGAACACCCCCACAAGCGCCGGCGGTGAGGCTCCCGATGCGGAACGCTGTCATGGGTGGGGAAGACGCGTGCGAACACCCCCACCAAGGCCTTCGGTGGAGCTCCCTATGGGGCCACGGAACGCTGCCCTGGGTGGGGGAACCGCATGCGAACACCCCCACTGGGGCCTTCGGTGGAGCTTCTTATTGGGCTACGAAGCGCTGCCCTGGGTGGGGGAACCGCATGCGGGCTGTGCCGCTGGGGCCTTCGGTGGAGCTTCCCATGGGGCCACGAAGCGCTGCCCTGGCGTGTGGGAACCGCGTGCGGGCTGTGCCACTGGGACCTTCGGTGGAGCTCCCTATGGGGCCACGAAACGCTGCCCTGGGTGAGGGAACCGCATGCGGGCTGTGCCCCTGGGACCTTCGGTGGAGCTCGGGCCACGAAACGTTGCCCTGGCGTGTGGGAACCGCATGCGGGCTGTGCCACTGGGACCTTCGGTGGGGCCCCCTTTATGGGGCCACGAAGCGTTGCCCTGGGTGGGGGAACCGCATGCGGGCTGTGCCACCGGGACCTTCGGTGGAGCTCCCTGTTGGGCCACGAAGCGCTGCCCTGGCGTGTGGGAACCGCATGCGGGCTGTGCCAGTGGGACCTTCGATGGAGCTCCGTATGGGGCCACGAAACGTTGCCCTGGGTGAGGGAACCGCATGCGGGCTGTTCCACTGGGACCTTCGGTGGAGCTCCCTATGGGGCCACGAAACGCTGCCCTGGGTGGGGGAACCGCATGCGGGCTGTGCCACTGGGACCTTCGGTGGAGCTCCCTATGGGTCCACGAAACGCTGCCCTGGGTGAGGGAACCGCATGCGGGCTGTGCCCCTGGGACCTTCGGTGGAGCTCCCTGTTGGGCTACGAAGCGCTGCCCCGGGTGGGGGAGCCTCATGCGGGCTGTGCCACTGGGACCTTCGGTGGAGCTCCCTATGGGGCCACGACACGCTGCCCTGGGTGAGGGAACCGCATGCGGGCTGTGCCACTGGGTCCTTCGGTTGAGCTCCCTATGGGGCCACGAAACGCTACCCTGGGTGAGGGAATGGCATGCGGGCTGTGCCACTGGGACCTTCGGTGGAGCTCCCTGTTGGGCGACGAAACGCTGCCCTGGGTGGGGGAACCGCATGCGGGCTGTGCCACTGGGGCCTTTGGTTGAGCTCCCTATGGGGCCACGACACGCTGCCCTGGGTGAGGGAACCGCATGCGGGCTGTGTCACTGGGACCTTCGGTTGAGCTCCCTAGGGGGCCACGAAACGGTGCCCTGGGTGAGGGAACCGCATGCGGGCTGTGCAACTGGGACCTTCGGTGGAGCTCCCTATTGGGCTACGAAACGCTGCCCTGGGTGGGGGAACCGCATGCGGGCTGTGCCACTGGGACCTTCGGTGGAGCTCCCTATGGGGCCACGAAGCGCTGCCCTGGGTGTGGGAACCGCATGCGGGCTGTGCCACTGGGGCCTTCGGTTGAGCCCCCTATGGGGCCACGAAACGCTGCCCTGGGTGAGGGAACCGCATGCGGGCTGTGCCACTGGGACCTTCGGTGGAGCTCCCTGTTGGGCTACGAAACGCTGCTCTGGGTGGGGGAACCGCATGCGGGCTGTGCCACTGGGACCACCTTCTGTGGAGCTCCCTATGGGGCCACGAAACGCTGCCCTGGGTGTGGGTGAGGGGGAGGAGGGAGGGGGCAGCGGGAGGAGAAGGAGACGCGGGGCACCGTCGCTTCAAAACGAGGACCCACCGCCACAGGATGGTTGGGAAAAACACGTGTGGAACCCTTACCCCCCCAACCCGACTTTCGGGTCTTCGGGTTGGGTTGGCGTGTCTGTTGCGCCATGCATGCGTTTGGTGTGCTTTCTCATATCCTGCGCTCGTTTGGCGCGCCGCGCTCCAACTTTATAACCGATTTCTCCTACGCGCCGCATGGCGTATGGCCTGTACTTGGGGGCTGGGTTGGGGTGGTCCGGTAGGTAGTCAGGAGGGCGGCCGCGGAGCCAGGAGGAAGAGGGAGGGCGCACGCTGCGCGAGCTCTCCCCGCAGACGCGCGACGCCCTGATGTTTGCCATGTGGGGCCACTGGCAGCCTCGACCCCCTCTCCCCAGGCCTCTCCTCCTCCTCCTCTTCCTCCTCCTCTTCCTCCTCCTCCTCCTCCTCCTCCTCCTCCTCCTCCTCCTCCTGTCGTCTTGTTGACAGGCCCGGGCCTGGCGGGGCGGCCTCGACCCGGACAGTCGCGGGGCGCGGCGAGGGCCCCCAGAGGCCGAGAACGGCCCAAACTCCCCCGTCGCGTTGTTTCACGATGCGAGCTTGTCCGGGCCCTCTCCTCCTCCACCGAGTCTAAGCACTTGGCCCTCGTCGGGAAAAAACATACAAACACACACACACACACACGGTGAAAAAACACGCACACACACACACACACACACACTGGGGGGGGGAACACACGGGGAAAACACACACAAAACAGCACACACACACACACACACACACACACGCACAACAAAAAAAACATACACACACACACACACATCCACACACACACACACACACACTGTCGGAAACACACACACACACACACACACACACACTGTGGGAAAACACACACACACTGTGTTTTGTGTGTTTTTTCCCCCTCCGCCGCCACGCCCCTCCGCCCCCCCCGCCAGGCTCGCCGGGCGCGGGCGTGCACCAGGCGGCGGACGCCGCGGCGCTCGCGCGGCCTGGGCGCCCCGGCCAGTGGCCGTAGGCCAGGCGGCGGCCGCCGCGTTTGAAAGGTGCCCTCGGGGGAGCAGGAGGAGGGATCGGCCACGCGCAGAGGGGTGCCAGAGGTCTAGGCCTCCCAGATGGGGTCGGAGCAGATGGGGTCGGAGGATCGCGCGGCATCGCCGATGCATCGCCGATGCGACTCGATGTGGAGCCCGTGTTTCTCCACGCCGGCGTCGCCGATACGCCGCCGACGTCGCCGATACATCGCCGATGCATCGTCGATGCATTGGCGATGCGGCGCGATCCTCCGACCCCATCTAGGAGGCCTCTAAGAGGGGGCAGGGGGAGGGGGGAAGGCGTCCTCAAAGCCCCCCCGGGTTCTCAGCAGGCGCGGGCCCCATCAGTAGGGGCCCGCGCCTTCTAAGAGGCAGCCTCCTTCTAAGAAGCCTTCCTCTCCCCAGTGCGCGCCGCCAAGAGGATCCAGGCATGCTCGTGCCCTGACAAAAATAAGTCGGAGGAGAAGGAGGAGAAGGAGGAGGAGGACGAGGAGGAGGAGGAGGAGGAGGAGAAGGAACGGGCCGTTGGGCGGGGTGGCATGGCGGGGATGCTGATTAAACAACCTGAAGCATTCGACGCGGAGATCCATACGTATCTAACGGCCTTTGGTCCATCCCGCCACCCTGTCTGGATTGTGTGTCATAGGCTTCTAGGGTGTTCGTTGGGATGTAGCGGGAGGCCTCTTAGGGGACTTTGGGGGGCTGTTTCGCAGCTTGTTGGGGGCTGTTTTGAACTTTCTAGGGGCGTCTTCGGGGCCTCTTGGGGGTCTCTTGGGGCCTCCGCCCTCCCAACATAGCAGTACCCGAGTCTCAGCACATCGCCGAGGAGCGGGACACGGGTTCAGGTGCACCACGCACCCTGGAGGCCCAAGCGTGCGAGGCGCGGCAAGTGCGGCACGTGCTCCACGAGCGCCAAGTGCGCCACGTGCTCCAGCCGCGCCAGTTGCGCCCCGTGCTCGGCGCGCGCAGTGCGTGCGAGGTGCGCCATGGCACAGCCGTCACCGGGTGGATTCAGCATTGTTGTTTAACAAGGACGGTTGGCCTGCGCCCATCAAGCAATATTCGGGCACCCCCGCCATCCTGTCAAAAACCCATGCAGGGTGGTCGCGGGGCGCCCGCCGAGTGGTCGCGGAGCGCCCGCGCATGCTCCGGATGTGGAGGCAAAGAGCATTCTGCACTGGCTTTTGGACGGGCGGTCGGCTTGCGCGCAATTTGTGCGAAACAAACAGCATGCCGGCACCCCCGCCGCCGTTGTCAAAACCCAATGCAGAGCGGTCGCGGGGCGCCCGCGCATGCTCGAAATTTGAAGGCAGAATGCATTCTGCACTGTTTCTTGACAGGGATGGTGGGTGGGGGATTGGCATGTCCCGGGTTGGCCCACACTCGGGTGGGGGAGGGGGTGTTTGCTAAGAAGGAGCAGTGATAAGCCCCTCCCCCGAGCAGGGGGAGACGGGGTCATGGAAGGAAGAAGACGAAGCTCATTAAATCACTTTCGCCGAGAGTGCTGATGGGATTTGGTCTTTGTCCCCTTGAAAGACTCCTCAGGAGTGCTTCAGGGATTGGGCAAAGGACTTGAGGACACGTCTACTCCGTGTCCAGTGACACTCTGGCAATACAGACGTATGTGTATATAGATATAGGTATACGTACACATCCATAAACATGTATGTATATATGCACACATGTATATATGTATATCTGCATATATCTATATATATATATATATGTGCATATATACCTATGGGCGTTCGGCATCTCCGCGCCCCTGAAAAAAACGCATCAGGGGGAGCCAATTGTCGAGAACGGGGGATTCTCAAGTGGCGGTCTGGGGGCCCCAATTCTCTAAAGATCACACTCTCCTCAGCGCCGCGCACACTTGTTTCAAAAACGGCATTCTGCCTCGACGCCGCGCACATTTCTGTGAAGCAGACTGGCAGAGATTCGAGCCCCAAAAGGGAGGGAGGGAGAGGGAGAGGGAGAAACCGTCCACGCCTCCTGTGGTGGCGCATGTGAGGGGATGGATAAAAATGTTGACAACATGTTCAACCGATTTTTTCCCAACCATCCTGTGGTGTTGGGTCCTCGTTTTGAAGAGACAGCGCCCCGCGTTCACTCCTCCTCCTTCCTCCTCCCCCTCCTCTCGCTGCCCCATCCTCCCCTCCCTGCCTCTGTCTTCTCTCTCGCATGCCCATTTCGGCGCACCCCTCACACGTTTCGTGGCCAAATGGGGTGCTCCGCCGAAGGCCCCACTGGCAGGGTCCGCATGCAGTTCCACCCTCCATTTCGGCGCACCCACCCAAGGCCCCAGTGGCAGGGTCCGCATGCAGTTCCACCCTCTATTTCGGTGCACCCCTCGCACGTTTCGTGACCCCATAGGGTGCTCCGCCGAAGGCCCCAGTGGCAGGGTCCGCATGCAGTTCCACCCCCATTTCGGCACACCCCTCGCACGTTTCGTGGCCACATAGGGTGCTTCGCCGAAGGCCCCAGTGGCAGGGTCCGCATGCAGTTCCACCTCCATTTCGGCGCACCCCTTGCGCGCTCCGCGGCCCCATGGTTGCTACACCGAAGGCCCCAGTGGCAGGGCCCGCATGCGGTTCCACCCCCATTTCGGCGCACCCCTCACACGTTTCGGGCCCCATAAGGTGCTCCACCGAGGGCCCCCGTGGCAGGTTTGCATGCAGTTCCACATGCATTTCGGCGCACCCTTCATACGTTTCGTGGCCCCATAGAGTGTTCCACCGAGGGCCCGTGGCAGGTTCGCAAGCAGTTCCACCTTTCATTTCGGCGCACCTCTCAGACGTTTCGTGGCCCCCAAAGGCCCTAGTGGCAGCGCCCGCACGTGGTTTCACCATGCATGTCGGCGCACCCCTCACACGTTTCGTGGCCTCACATGGGGCTGCACCAACGGCGCCGGTGGCAGAATCCGCATGGCGTACCCGTGCCAATTTTGGCACACCCATCACACGCGTCGTGGCTCCAGAGAGAGGTTCACCGAGGACGATACCCACGACTGCGTTACACACAGCTGCACATGGTTGGGTCCTTCGACTGGATATTTTTTCCCCCCCCTTCTCCCACCCCAGCATTCACATATGGTGCCAGACTGCCCCAGAGAAGGTCTCCTGTGGAGGGTTTCAACAGGAATCCTTATGTGGAGGGTTTTAATCGGAATCAAATTATCCCGGCAAAGCAACCTAACAGCGATGTGTAGAAGTATATCTGAAAGCATTCCCCTTAAGATTCAGATGAAAATCCAGTTGTAGAATTCTGCTGTTCTCGCAGTCGTAGTCGCATTCGCGATGACAGTCGCAGCGGCAACGGCAGTCGCAGTCACAGCCTCAGCCTCAGCCTGCCTCAGCCTCAGCCTCAGCCTGCCTCAGCCTCAGCCTGCCTCAGCCTCAGCCTCAGCCTGCTTCAGCCTCAGCTCAGTCTGCCTTCAGCCTCGGCCTCAGCCTCAGCCTGCCTCAGCCTCAGCCTGCATCAGCCTCAGCCTCAGCCTCAGCCTGCCTCAGCATCAGCCTGCTTCAGCCTCAGCCTCAGCCTGCCTCAGCCTCAGCCTCAGTCTGCTTCAGCCTCAGCCTCAGTCTGCCTTCAGCCTCGGCCTCAGCCTCAGCCTGCCTCAGCCTCAGCCTGCCTCGGCCGCAGCATCAGCCTGCCTCAGCATTCAAAATGAGGCCCAGGAATGGAGTTCTGGGAACTAGAAGAACACGAAGTGGCCTACAGTTGGCTCCAGGCATTCAAAATGAGGCCCAGGAATGGAGTTTTCCTGGAACTAGAAGAACACGAAGTGGCCTACAGTTGGCTCCGGGCATCCAAAATGTGGCCCGGGAATGGAGTTCTGGGAAATCGAAGAGCACGAAGTGGCCTACAGTTGGCTCCGGGCATCCAAAATCATGCCCAGGAATGGAGTTCTGGGAGGTCGAAGAGGACGAAGTGGCCTACAGTTGGCTCCGGGCATTCAAAATGTGGCCCGGGAATGGAGTTCTGGGAAGTCGAAGAGCACGAAGTGGCCTACAGTTGGCCCCTGGCATTCAGAATGTGGCCCGGGAATGGAGTTCTGGGAGGTCGAAGAGCACGAAGTGTGTGACTGTTTGCGAAAAACGCATTCGGACACGAGTTCGGACACAGCTCCCCGGGTCCCGCCCCGACCCCCCTGTGGAGTCCTTTTTTGACACCACTAGAAACCTATCAGCAAAAGCTGTTAGGTAATTTGTGGAATCTTCAATGAGAATCCTTCTGCGGAGGGTTTCGCTAGGAATCCTTCTGTGGAGGGTTTCAGAAGGAGTCCTTCTGTGGAGGATTCAACAGGAATTCAATGCCAACGCAATGCCAATGTCATGCCGGCGCTTTGCCTGCGCAAGGCCAACGCAATGCTAAGGATCACCAATGCTATGCCAATTCTATGCTAGGTCCGTGCCACCGCATGCAAGCACAATGCCAGCACATGGCCAGTGCAATGCCAGTTCAATGAGAACGCGATGAGTCGTTCCTCTTGTGCACTTCAACGGGAATTCTTCTGTGGACGGTTTCACTTGGAATCCTTCTGTAGAAGATTTCAATAGGAATCATTATGTCGAGGATTTCAAGAGCAACCCTTTTTGCTTTGGATTTCAATAGGAATATTTATGTGAAGGATTTCAATGGAAATTATTCAAGGGAGGATTTCAATGGAAGTCCTTCTGTGAAGGATTTCAATAGGAAAGCTTTTGCGGAGGATTCTAATCGGAATTCTTCTGCGGGCGTTTCCTGAAGAATTCTTGCGCGGAGGATTTCGTAGGAGTCCTTTTGTGGAGGGTTTCCACGGGAACTCCTCTCGTGTAGGATTTCAGTGAGAATCTTGCTGTGGAGGATTTTAAGAGAAATCATTTTGTGGAGGGTGTCGATTCGGATTTTTTGTATAATTTCAATATGAACGCAACGCCAAGACACTGCCAAGCACTGGCAGTGCTGTGCCAGCGCCTTGCCATCGCAAGGCCCATCTCAA